GAAATAGGCATACCTTGTCTTCTGTTGGGCTGCAAAGGTGGCAGGTTGAGCCAGTTTAGTCAAGAGTTGAACTGAATTTATTTTTTGTTTGAGTGCATCACAGGTTTTAAATTCCTTTGCGGGGGGGGGCTTATGCTTAGGGGACTAGTAGACGGGGTGGGAAGTGGGGGGATTAGTGCTCCACCTCATGCTTTCCCTGCATAGCTGTTACACAGAGAACATCTTTTGCCAAGCTGCTGCCTGACCTCACCAGTTGGCTACTGTTGCTTGCTACTCCTGTTAGGGTTGTGCTGGGGCTGAGGGTCTCTCATTCATCCTCTGCTTCAGTCTTAGGGAGGGTGCCTAGGCCTCAGGGCGAGATCTCTCTTAGCATTTCTGCCCTTTCTACCACAGCAGTCAACCTCTGCTTTGTATCTGTGGTTGTAGATTTCAAGGCTCTTCTATATACTGCCAAATTGCATCCCAGAAAGCATGTGCAACCACCTCTCACCAATGACAATCAAGGGTTCTACGAAACAAGGTTTTCAGTCTTGGACATCACCGGGCTCTTTTGATATGAGTGATTCCATAATTATATTGCTCACTTTTATGATGAAAATGCAACACTGGGCCTTGTGCATAGTAGGCCATAACCCACTTTTCTGGTTAACTGAGGAATCAAAGTGTAAATATCCTATCGAGAAGTTGAGAGGTACCATTGTCATTTAGGTTTGTTCCCCATTGACAGAAGCAGTCCCCACCCCACTCAGGAATTCAGAAGTATATATTTCATTCAGAAGCTCCATTTGACAGAGATGAGAAGCAGTAGTGTCAGCCTAAGGCATTATGATCCCTGAATGAAAATACCACTGCCCGAGGGCTGGAACTGAATTCTGACCCTGATTCTGCCTCCAATTAGCGGTCTCTTAAATACGCAAATTACTGACCAGTTCTGTTCCTCAGTTTATGTATCTGTCAAGTAAGGTTCATGATACTTATTTCACTTCAGCTTGCTGTGAAGTTGAAATGAAATTACATCGTGTAAAGCCCTTTGCAGCACTTTTTAAGTGCCATAGAAATGTGAAATATTCCTCTAAGAAGGGTCAGAGAGGTGTAGAAAACTGTGGGAGTTCGAAATTCAAGATACTCTTTTGACATCTTCACATCCTCCATGTGAGAGAGTATGTGAGAAAATGAGTATTTGCGAATATAAGAAGAGAACAAAATTAGAAATAGAGTTCTTTCTCTCACCAAAATTAGCCTACTTGTGGTAAAAGTTAATTAAGTCCTGCTCAACCAGAGAAGGGCACATCTTTAAGGGGAAATAGCACGTAAGCCTTGACTCACGCAGAGAAGTGATGAGTTTGTGTCATATCTCACTCTGTACTCAGTAAGCCTCTGTTAGACTGTGTCTCCAATAGACCTAACCTGTCACTCCACCTGCTGTCTCAGGTCTAGAATTCGCCCACTGTGTTGCTTGGGTCATTAGAGCGACACACACTTACACTCAGACAAAAGAGACAAGCAAGACAATTAACAAGCCATAAGGAAGTTTACCTGCTTCCACCAGCTTTCATTCACACCAAAATCCAGTCCCCATCAAAGAGGACCAAAGCGCACACTATGCAAAACATAGAGTGTTACTTCCTCTTTTGCAACCTGTTACATACTGTTAAAATCTTCCGTTGTAAGCTGGTTGGTCTAGAGCAGGGGTCAGCAAATTACCAACCCAGGCCACCATCTGCTTTTGTAAACAAAATGAGTTGTTTTTTTCCACATCAAAATTAGAACTCTAGTACCAATATGGTTGACTATACACAGATGAGCTAGAGACACTACCCAACATCACTTACATGTTCAAATGCCATGGGAAATTGATAGAAAAAAATCATTCTGGAGCTTAAAAGGACTCTGACATGGAGATTGGTCATTGTCTTCTGCAGGCAAGACCATAAAGCATTAGAGGGCCACTGATCTTTATTTTATTTTTTTATATTTTTTATTGATTTCAGAGAGAGGAAGGGAGAGGGAGAGAGATCGAGGGCCACTGATCTTAATGCACACTTTACAGATTGTCCTCAAAGTGGATTTTGTATCTGCTTGGTAGCATACTGCAGCTCTATTTTGCATAGTTTCATTCTCAGGGTTATTCAGTGAAAGCTTGCTTATTTTTATCACCTTTCTTCTTGTGAATAAATATTTTTTGGGTAACTATGGCAGGCAAAGTAGTGAGCAAGAACATGGCAGGACTGGAGATTCCAAGGTAGAGCGCTCATTGGTGCTCATCCATGGCTCACGTGAGTTTCATTGCATTGCCAAACGCCACCTGAAAGCCGTGCCACAGTGCTGTTCCCCCCTCTGCTGGGCAAGAGTTCAATGGTGAACGGGCCAGATTTGTTTCCTGCGGTTGCCATAGGCTGGTTTCTGTTGTTGGGACTGGAGAAGATGAGTCGTTTCTCTCAGGATGTTGTACGTGTGCGCTGGCAAGGTAGCAGCAGAGGTAGGGACCCCAGGGGCTGTTGGAAAGCTGGTGACCGTAAGTGGGGGTGGCTTAGTGTTTACTAACATGTCGATTTTCAAATCATTAAATCACCCTGAGTACTTAGTGCAGCAGCAATATATGCCACTATCAGACGGGGCCGCATTCTTTCCGGTTAAAGACACATTCCCTTTCTAAATGATTCCATTTAGCTTACAAGGCTTGTTCCTCCGAATGGTCAGTCTGGATCCATTAGTCCCAATGAGTTGGTTTGAACATAGAGACCACCCACATGCCCCTCGGCCCCAGCCTGTGGTTGTGACTTCACTAGCTGCTGAGTAGGTACAGGGCAGCATGTCAGGCTGACGCACCACGCCACTCACTTGTACCTGAGAGATGACAGCATCTGTCCAAAGTAGTGTGAGGCCTGTGAAGGCTGCACAAGGGTGCAGGATGGTGTCATCCTGTCTCAGTGTGGCTCCTCCTTTATATCTTTAGTGGTAGGAATTCTGTTCAGCTAGTCTTGGCTGGTTCTCGGTGATGGTTCGTCTACAGTTTAGTTGGAATTCTCAAGTGCTCCTTAAATAAAGTTGTATTGGGACACAACCACTCTCATTTCGGTGCATATTGTGTGTGGCTGCTCTAGTGCTACAGGGGCAGAGCTGAGTAGCTGCAATAAAGATTGTACGGCCTACGAAGCCAAATATTTGCTCTCTGGTGGCCCTTTGTAGAAAAAGTGTGGCTCTTCCTGGTCTGGAGCAATGATATGCATCCTGTCCACTCCCCACCAGCATTACCAAAACACATTTGTTTTATTCATGTTTCTTTCTTCTTTCATTTAATGAATTATTATTGATTTATGCGTTAACATTTAAGAATAATGGGATGTAGAGAGTTCTTCAGATGGGAGAATGTATAATGGCTAACAGCATTGAATTAGGAAGGTTTATTGAAAATACAGGCCAAAAAGAACATGCTACATAATACTCCATGAGAATGCAACCAGCCGTGTCCAGAATGTAGGAAATGCTACACAATAAATTACCTATGTGTTTTTTTGTTTGTTTTTGTTTTGTTTTTGTTTTTGTTTCTGTTTCAGTAAATATATGGACATGGGAAAAAGAAGGTAGAGGAGGGCGCCTCTGGAAATAAAAGAGACCTCAGGGACAGTTCAACCTTGATGTGCATCTTCTAATTTGAACAACCCAGCTGAGATTAATTGGAGATAATAGAATTTGAAGTTTGACAGGGTTTTGGTGTTATGAAGTTATTTGTATTTGTTAGTTATAAGGGTATTGTGATTTTTAAGACATCCTTATCTGTTAGAGATCATTAATTGTAGTCTTTGTGGGTGAAATAACAGGGTTCCTAAACTTTTTTTTTCTTAAACTCCTTCAGCCAGAAAAAAATCATAGGGAGTCCAGAAGAAATAATATTGGCAAAAAATTGACAATTATTGAAGTGGGGTGATACTGTTTATGCTTTTCTCTGAAATGTGCCTGTTTGAACATTTTCATTATAAAGTGTTTGTTTTTTTAAACCATGAGTTTAAGTGTCAGTTTTCATTTGAATCTGGGTTTTACTAGCTGTTTCTAGATCGGTAAAATGGGCATTATAATTCAGGTTGTATATGACATTGTGATGATTATGAGAATTAAATGAGATAGTAAAGAGTTTAGCTCAATGCCTAACACATAGGAAATGATCAATACCTGGTAGCTATTATATTGTATCTGCTATCAAACAACAAAAACATAACCCCTTTTGGGCTCAGTTCATGTATCATGTAATTGACTTTTATGAATAACAGCTCTTAAACCCATATTGCTGCTACACAAGGATATCAGGAACTGAAATACAGAATGTTTTTCACTGTGTGCATGTACTTCCTTGGCAGTCCGAAAACAGCCACAACACCCGTACAGATGCAAAGAGGAAGAACTATGGCTCCGAAATCATGATTGGAATTTCAGATTGTCCTATAAGGCTGTTTCTCCACAGCAGTTTTTTTTAAAGCCCATAGTCAGTTTTGTGTGGTATTGCTAACAAATGCCTGTGAACACGTTTAACCCAATGTACATGGGAAGCCCTGTGACTATACGGTAGTGACAGATTTCCCAGTTTGCACTCCTTGGAGCCCAGGGAAGGCTGAGTCCTGTGATCCTGCTTTAACTCAGCCTGGGCTGACTTAGCTGCTTCCTGGTCAGCTACTCATTAGCCAACATGTATCTCACAAACTTGTAGGAAAACACGTTGACTTAAAGGTCCAGGATATTCGAGCCTCCCCCCTAAATAAAAGAAAATCATTATCTCATCCATCAACCACCTCAGGTAAATCAAATAAATGAGCTGGGACTTTTTATGGGTGTGGGAAGGTGTCTCCTTCTGAAGACAGTTACTATCGGAAAGAAATATTGGGAGCCTACTGTTCAAAATGATTTTTATAAAAAGAATGAAGACTGGTTGTGGGCGGTTTAGGAAACAATGTTTTGGTTAAACTGAAGATACCCAAACTGTAATTTTTTTTTCTCTTCTTCCACAGAATGACATCACTCCTTTACATGTTGCATCAAAAAGAGGAAATGCCAACATGGTAAAACTACTGCTTGATCGAGGAGCTAAAATCGATGCCAAAACAAGGGTAGGAGTCAATTTATGTGCATGCTTATCCTTATTTTCGGGAGGTAGGAATACTACTCCTAATACCTTTGCACTGGTTCAGTATTGGCTTTATTTTTGTTCATTTGTTGTAGTCTCTTGGAAAATGACTGCTACGTTTTTTCTCCTTAAAATGGGATGATAATCAATATTTATAAATCTTTAGTAGATGTTTAAATAGTGCATGGCTTTAATTACAGAATCTAAGGTCTAAAGCCTAGAGTTTTAGTTGAGTTAAATTTTCAAGAATTTAACCACTACTTGACACTCCAGGCTTAGCTATTTAGTCAATTTGATGCTAAACCTGACTTAAAAACAAACCTTTCTACCTTTGTGCCCTGCTGATGGGAATGTAAAATGGTACAGCTGCTATAGAAAACCGTATTGAGGTTCCTTAAAGAAACAAAAAATAGAATTATCCCATGATCTAGTAATTCCACTCCTGGGTATAATTGATGGTAGAATGGTTGTTGCCTGGGGAGCAAGAAAATGGGGAGTTGTTGATCAGTGGGTATATAGTTTCAGTTTTGCAAGAAGATAAAGTTCTAGAGATGTTATACAGCAATGTGAGTAAAGCTAACATTACTGAACTGTATACTTAAAAATGGCTAAGAAAGTAACTTTTATATTGTTTTTTACAATTAAATTTTTTTTTTGAAAACCACATATCTATCTAGCTAGGTGCTTGGCAGGTTGCTTTTCTGGTGTGATGCATTGTGAGTGAGGAAAGAACTGAGACTTCGAATCAAGCTTGAATCCCAGGTTCTGAGTTTAGCTAGTTGACTTAGGTAGGATATTTAACCTTCGGCATGTTATTTCTCTTTGCAAATAAGAACCATTAATGGCTACCGTGCAGCATTGTCATAAGATCAAGCTAATGTTTGTAAACTGTGTGGTATAAAGTCATCCAGAAATAAATCCCAGCCATTGCTAGTATATCTCAGAGCTCCAATCGCATTAAGCTTCTAACCAGGGCATTTCTTTCAGCATTTCATGCATTTGTTATAAGGTGCGAGCAAGAGCCAGGTTAATAAAAGGTGGTCGTGCTGTAGACATCCACCTAGGTAGGAATTTTGGATAGCTTTCCCTGTCTTGTCATTGTGACTCCCACAATCCTTTGCTTCTTCCTTCAAGAATCCTGAACTTCAAGTGTCTACAACTGGCCCGGTAGCCTGAACTTGACTCCTGTAGCTCCTAAATGGACTACGTTGTTTATTAGTCACTACATTTATTCCCTCAACTGGTAAATGATTACTGAGCACCTGCCTGGGGCCAGACGTAAGGGCGGGGGGGGGGGGGGATGGAACAAGACAAGACACTTCCCCTGCCCTCATGGCGCTGATGGGAAGCTTGTCTCCTGTGTTCTAATCCTAAGGTAGCCCAGCCGTAGGTATTTGGTAGGAGACCCAAACGTCTTTTTCCTGATGACTGTTGAACCTGAAAATTATGGATATATTTTAAAAGAAATAAACTTTCCCGAAAGGAGTGAAGAAAGATGAGGGTTGACCTGTCTGACTGGGGAAGTAGATTGAATTGCAATAAAATACCTATTGTTATGTAATAATATAATCTAATGAGTAATATATTATTTAGACTCCACTGATAAGTTAAGGATACACGCTGTAATCCTTAACTTGAATAGAGACCTTATTGAACTGACTTTGCGTTATTTAATAAGCAATTGCCAGTAGATAACAAATGCTAGAGCCATTGCTTTAAATGCCAAAGGTCTTCTGCTAAGTACGGGCTGTTTAAAGAGACTGTAAGGAATGAAAGACAGAGAGGCCTTGCTTATGCCAGTTGAATATCACGGAAGCTAATGGATTGTTTGTAAATAGGGAGAATCTTTGAAAAGGGAAGTGAGGGAGGATGCAGTCAATGGGAAAGAGAAGCTTGAGGAGGCATATCTGGATTTCCAGCTGAGGTTTTAACAAATGTGTGGATCAGAAATCACCTCATTTCATCCCCTCTTGATACAATCGTCAATCACTTCTCAATCATTTAACAAACACTTGCTGTTTTGGGTACAAAGAGAGGAGAAAAGGGTACACAGGAAATTCTGGCCCCATCTTTATGGGGCATATGGTGTCCTAGGGGAGGGCCAGGATAAAAGCACAAAACACTCTCCTGAGAGAAAGTATCAGAAATGAAATGAGGTGCACAGGCAAACTGATGGTGCAGCCGGGTTTCCGTGCCACGTTGCCTCCCTGTTCTGAAAGGCTGTCTTCTTTTAAACAAGACGTAGATTCCCTCCCATGGGTTTAAACTGGATTTACCTTCCTCGTGTGCTGTGTAAGTGACGAGTGAGTGTGAGGGAGACTTGGAGAAGCTGAGAACGGAAAAGCCCATCATTCTTCTATTGTTGTCCTGCGTGGAGTGGGGTGAAGGTGGGACCAGGCGCAGACTGAATTCCTGGCAGACGATATGGGAGAAAGTGTAGTACATACTTAAAATATGTAAACTATTCTGTGGTCTCCTCATCAGAGCTTCCCTTGTCTCTTGCTGAAATAACTGAGTGGCTGATGTGTGGGCTTGAAAGGGAGGGAGGGAGCCAGCTAAAATGTCAGAAAGCCCTGGGGACAAGCCTAAGAACTAACAACAAATTTTCATCAATATGTGTTTTAACACAGTCCAGTGGCTCTTGAGAAAATATTGTTATCTACCCAGCTACCTCCTACAAGGTACATGCTACTGTTGGGGCTACCTGGTTTTTTGTTTTTGTTTTGTTTTTTCTTTATTGATTAAGGTATTACATATGTGTCCTTATCCCTACATTGCCCCTCCCACCTTCCCACCCCCACTCATGCCCTCACCCCCCTAGTGTCTGTGTCCATTGGTTATGCTTATATGCATGCATACAAGTCCTTTGGTTGATCTCTCCCTCTCCCCCACCCCACCCTTCCCTGCCTTCCCTCTGAGGTTTGACAGTCTGATTGATGCTTCTCTGTCTCTGGATCTGTTTTTTTTAAATATATTTTATTGATTTTTTACAGAGAGGAAGGGAGAGAGATAGAGAGTTAGAAACATCGATGAGAGAGAAACATCGACAAGCTGCCTCCTGCACTCCCCCACTGGGGATGTGCCCGCAACCCAGGTACATGCCCTTGACCAGAATCGAACCTGGGACCTTTCAGTCCACAGGCCGACGCTCCATCCACTGAGCCAAACCGGTTTTGGCTAGATCTGTTTTGGTCATCAGTTTATGTTGTTCATTATATTCCACAAATGAGTGAGATCATGTGATATTTATCTTTCTCCAACTGACTTATTTCGCTTAGCATAATGCTCTCCAGGTCTATCCATGTTGTTGCAAGTGGTAGGAGTTCCTTCCTTTTTATAGCAGCATAGTATTCCATTATGTAGATGTGCCAAAGTTTTTTAACCCACTCATCTGCTGATGGGCACTTAGGCTGTTTCCAAATCTTAGCTATTGTAAATTGTGCTGCTATGAACATAGGGGTGCATATATCCTTTCTGATTGGTGTTTCTAGTTTCTTAGGGGGATACCTTGTTGCATTAAGAATCAGATCTGGTACATACCAATTCCTCTAGAGGCAGGGAAAAAAACATGGATTCACCTCAGACACCAGCACTCTAAGGGACCTAATTTCCTTGTTGTTCCCTGCATGGGTTGTTGACCTAATAAAGAATTCCATTTAAAAGCAGACCCTTAGGCCCAGCCAGTGTGGCTCAGTGGTTGAGCATCAACCTATGAACCAGGAGGTCACGGTTCAATTCCCAGTCAGGGCACATGCCCAGGTTGTGGGCTCAATCCCCAGTGTGGGATGTGCAGGAGGCAACTGAACAATTATTCTCTCTCATCTTTGATGTTTTTCTCTCTCTCTCTCTCTTCCTCTCTCTGAAATCAATGAAAATATATTTTAAAAAATAATAAATAAATAAAAATATCAGTCTATTAGGTTTATAATATATTTGGAAGTAAAATATTATATATATATAGCAAAAAATGAAACTAATATATATACAATTATAATATTCCAAAATTCTCATATTATACATGAAGTGGTATAATCTTATTTCAATATAATATATATTATTATGTAATAATATAATCTAATGAATAATATATTATCTAGACTCCATTGATAAGTTAAGGATACACGCTGTAATCCCTAGGGCAACCACTAAAAAGAGATTTAGTTAAAAATCCAAAGTAGGAGATAGCCAGTGGCCTATATGATCATTAAATCATTAGAATAATAAATAATGCTCAAACCAAAAGAAGACCAGAAAGGAGGGACAAAAAACATGGAGAATGGGAAAAGACGCAACAAATAGCATAAGGGCCTATTTTTAGGCTCAGAGAGAAAGCTGTGATTTTCCAAGCAGAAAGAACAACAAAAGGATTTTGCCTTATTTTAGTTTAGTATTAAACATATAGAATGCATGGCAGGATAAAAAGGAAGGGATTTAGAAAGATATTTCTCTCTTTTATATATAAACGGCCAAAGTGAATTCTTGATGTGAAAAGGAAATTGCTTGGTGCAGTAGAAGGAATCCAGTCCCTCTGACGGAGGCAAGCCTGAGGTTAACATCTAATGTCAAGCATTTACTTGCGTGTGACCTCGGGTGAGCACATTAGTCCTCTGGAGCAGCTTTCTCAGCTATAAGTGCAGTTCACATGCCATTTCTCACAACTTGTAGAGATTTAGTAGAACCCTAAGAACAGAGCACCTGTGACAATAGGAGGGGTTCCAAAAACGTCATTTCACTTCCTCTTAGGCCAACTCTCCAACCGCCCAACACGCACAAAGGGAGGATACAGCCAGAACTTGTAGTGAAAGACACAGATGTGAGAATAGCTATTAGGCTGTAACTGATGCTCTTTAATGTGTCTGGTTGTCATCATCACTCTCTCCTCCGGAGCACTACCTGTTTCTTCTTGGTTTTTAGTTTTCAATTAAATATCACATCCTGTTTTACATCCACAATAGAGAAAAGTGTATATCCACAGAGTTCTCT